TTGTATATGTTGATTAAAAAAAATTAAAATAGTAAAGATTGCAATATTATATACGTTGATTAAAAAAATCAAAAGATCTATGTTCTATTTAGAATTGTTATTATAAAATATATTTTAAAATAAATTATTATCTAAAAATATATATTAGATATTAAAAATATGTTTATATCATAAATAACATAAATTTGATTTTTATAAACTTTAACATATTTAATTTTATATTTTTAATAGTGTTAAATTATTATAAAGTAGGTCTTTAGGATTATAATTCTAATCAAACATTTAAAAAATGTCTATGATAGATAAATAAGTCATACTTAAGATATATATTTTAAAATAAATGTTAGATTCAAATCTATTAAATTATAATAAAATATAGTCTGTCCTAATTTATTTTTATCTTTAATTGTAATCGTAGATATAAAAATTTGTAAAAAATAATTATGATATATATTTATGCTTTTAAAAGTTATATGTAAAATTTTTAATATTACAAATATATGAATAAGTATTGTCTCCGCTATTTAAGATTTATGGATTTGTCACTGATTATAATTAAATAAAAATATTACTACGTTGATAAATAAATACTTTTCTCATACACAAAATAAATGTTTATCTTTTTCTCAATCAATTAAGGTGTATATTTTTAAAATAATTTATAATTAATATATTTTATTAAATTAAGAGAATACACTTAATTAAAAATAATTTAATCTAAAAATAATTAACATATGAGGAATAAAGTCTTATATAAAAAAATAAATAATTATTTTAAGTTGGGTCTTATAAATAGAGGAAAGATACATCCTCCAATTCAATGTCCCAAACATGATTTGAAATATTAAAATATTAATATTTTATAATAAATTTATTATAAAATAATTATTTAATTTAATATTTTATAATTTAAATTAATATTTTATACATTCGGAAAGATTTTTGGATAATCCTTTTAGACTATCTATCATTTTTCTATAAATAAGAATGAATGTAATATGTAGTAAACGATTTTAAGATGTTTGATTTTGATTGAATAAAAAAAATCAGTTTTTATATATAGTAAATAAGCTTTAAAAGAAAAAAAAACTGTCGAAAAATAGTCACAAATTTCAAATTTCAACCTCTTAAAAATAACTTATTTTTCACGAAAAAAAAAATTTACAAATTGAAGTTATTATTTCAAACATTTAATTTTTTTAAAACAACTTTATTTTCCTAAAAATAGTTGAAATGGGAGAATTTATCCTAAACACAGGGGTTGTAAGTTTGAGATATCAATTTATATTTATCATATTTGTTTTTAATTAAATATTAATATTTTTATAATCAAATATCAATAATTATAAGTAATTTTGTATCATAATATAAATTATTTATTATAAATTTAAAATATAATTT